TGATGTGTTGAGTGCTGTTGTTGGGGCCTACAACAATCAATGGAACCATGTTATCAACAATACGCCTGTTGGCATGTATTATGCCCGACGTCTTGCCTTTTCCCCATCCTATCAAAAGCGTGCCACAAGGTCTATAATCAAGAAGAAGTAAACTGGTTGTGCTGTTGTCAGCAAAGGGAAATTCACTCATTGGTCCTGTTCTGGAATGAAATCGCCTTGTAAGCCCTCCAAACCTAATGCACGCCCCTACAAAGATAACTTCAATGATCAGGTAGATGCTAGCTAGCCAAAGAAGCACTTGTGTGTGATAAGCCAAACCATATCAAGTATATAATAAAAGGACTCTTTGTTGAATAGCTCTTGTTGTGTTAAGTTCGCGTTGAGTTGGTATTGTGGTGGTATTGCGGTGGTATTGCGGTGGTATTGAGTTGGGTTCGTATGGTGCTGGTATGGTGTTGGTCTAGTGCTGTTAATGTTAAGTCTGGCGGCACTTTGGCACTAGCTTTGACTTGATGGGTTTAAGAACTATATTACACGACTGGCAAATACACTTGAGTTGTGGAGTATCAGAGCAAGGAAGGATGTGCGCGGCACAATCTATTATTTCTATGTACTAGCCAGAGAAAATAAAGGCGTATATTCATCATTGGACTAAGTTATTTATATCTGAAGGACAAGATTCATATAGAGATAAAGAGAGGATGGCACAATGGTCGATTGTATTTAGAAGATATCATTTGATAAGAAATAGCACAAAGTTATGTGAATCTAGCATGCCCGCGTGGGTTTGAACTAATAGTCACTGCATTTCCAAAAGAGCACCTTTATTAGTTTCTATCTCATCCATCTCGAAATCCTAATCCAATAGATAGCACCGAAGCTCCAGTTTGACCCACTTTCCATTGGAGCACTCCACAATTAATTAATTTACTTTCTTATCTACTCTTTTGAGAGATCAGTTTTCATTTAGATAAATTTACTTTGGTTTTGAAAAGTATGTCTTATCTTGAAATAGTTAAAGGTGTGGATAGAAATAGGATTTATCGCGGCCAGACGATTAGATATAGAATCGTAGTTGTGCTATGGTCTTTAGTGTTAGTGTTAGATAGTGTTAGAGGGGGGTGTAGTGATAGTAAAGTAGGCGGTGTTAGTGATGTTGGTGTGCAGGAAATAACAGCTCCGGAGGGTTGGGAAAGATCACCTAGGTTGACTGAAGACCTAAAGGCACTTGGGTTTTCGTTTCAGTATATGAAAAGTGTCGTCTATGTTAAGAAGCACATAACTGAAGAAGTAACGGCGCCTGCTTCGGACTCTACTGTAAGTTCCAGTCCAACCAACTCCACCGAAAACATTGACAAGTATATGGTGTTGTGGCCAGAGCCAGAGCTACAATTCATAATGCCTAAAACTAGGGAGGCATACGGATTGCAGAGGTTTTTGATTGCATTGATGGATATTGTTGTTATCAAAGCCGAAAAGGCGGTGTTTGTATATCAACTAGAGTATTTAGAGAGGTGTGAGGACAAGTTAAAAGCTATATCTCGAGTTATCAACATGCTAGAGTGTGAGGAGCTGGAACTTAGAATAGAAGAGTATGACATAGAGAGATACTCGCATTGGGCTAGTGAAGTAGAGCCCAGTTTGACCGAATTAGAGGAAACAATCGATTGTGCTGGCTCGAATTCAAAGCGCAGTCTCACAATTAATGTCTATTGTTTGAACCCATCTATAGTAGATCTTAAGCCCTTGAACATGTCCCTGCGAAACCTAGCTTCCAAACCCGCTCTGATAGTGACAATAATGCGAGAACGAAAACCTCATTCATTCTTTTTCAACCCAAAGTACCTATCTAGGGATTTACCTGAAGTCCAGGTCAACACCAATATTGATTTCACGGCTCTCCATAATCAAGAAATCAAATGTCAAAAGATTGTTATTGAGAAAAACATTGTGTTAACATTAACTGGTCTTGAGAATGCTACTACTAACATTCATTCCGAAATAGTTCTAGAACTGTATTGGGACACTCTTCTATATTTGTGCGAGCACAATAGGTCGAACATTAATGTTCATACCATTATAGCTATTGGCTGCGGCTCGAGGAGAGGATTATTCAAGCCTGAGCTTCTTCAAAAAGAGCCACCTTCTACCCCCCATATCTTTGCCACCAAAATATCCACCATAATTCCTACCCAGCTATATTGTTCTGCCCTGATCAGACATACCCAATACTGCAACCAAGAAGCCTGCGCCAAATATGGTATTTCGGCCGCCATAAACACAATTGAGTATGAGGAGGGGCAAGCCGGCCTAGTAGAAACGTTAAATACGCTTAAAAACAAGCTATGTGCATTGTATGAGACGTCGGTAGATAATTTGGATGATGAAGAGGCCAGGTGCTCTGGCCAAGACAAGGCTGATCACATGTGGCTACTTCAAGAAACAGTTAATATCCACCTCGAGAACAAACTGCGCGATAGCTGTGATAATTGGATAATTAGATCTTTCTGTCAAAACATATGCTATACAGACATTAACATTTATGGGCTAGATTGGGTAGATTGGCAATCTGTTAGCTTTTGTAAAGACCTTTTAAATCGATTCGGTAATATCACTGCTCGCACACTTAGAATCTCGAATATTTATCTTTGTCCCGACTGCAGATTTGGCTTATCTACGATAGAAGAAGATGACGCACTTCCTGAAATCTTCCGACGCCGTCTTGATATTAAGGCCTTGATACTAGACCAAGTTAATAATGACTTTATTTACTGGATCCTAAACAACTACACATTTGCTGATTCTATGGAATTGCATATTCTGAACCAAGGCTACAAGAACCTTAATATTGTCCAAATTCTCTCCCTTCCTATATGCCGGAATATCTCTAAACTTGTGCTCAATGACTTTATTGGATTAGATGAGGTGAGGTTGTATGAGGAGTATAAGAAAGAAGGTAGACTCACTGAACTCTCATTATTCAATTACATAGAAACAATGAAAGCCGAAAACAAAACCATCACGGATCTTGGTCTTAACAAACTGACTCTGCGACTAGAAGGTGTTGATTGCAATAAGTATACTGAAATCTTAGCTAAGTTTAATGATATTGGTATTCAATGCGAGGAGGTTCCTTTTGCGGTTATTGTTGGTCGTCAACTAGCGAATTACAATTCTTATATAAGGGGGGATACTCAATGTGCTTTGAGGAATCCCAACAAACGATTTAAGATGGTGCTGGAGCTCAAGAACATTAATCTACAAGAATTAGAAGCGGATCTTGCCAGGCGATGCCCCGAGTCTACATCACAGCCAGATCCAAAACAAGAACAAAAGTCCCCTATCCAGAAACTTTCCGTTGATAAATTATCGTTACATTTCATTGATGAGCCGGTCATAACTGAGAATAACCTAGTGAGGGTTCTTAAGTGGATTGCTTGTCACTTTACAGGTCCACGGCGGTTGTATTTATACGGTCTTGAGGTTTCGGAGGATGAACAAGAGACGATGATCGCCCACCATTATCAAGTCATTGGGTTAAATGCGTTCAGCCATTATCACAGAAAAGTTAAGCTCATAGTGCTTAGGTCGTTATTGGACGATAACCAGGGTATCGTATTCGCCGAGTTTAATATCATTCATCCTGATATTGTTATCGTGAACTCTATCACAATACCCCACATTCTTAAACTGGATCTCACTGAGATCGATCCTGAGGCATGTTTGTACAAGCTCGCAACGGCTATAAAGAAGTCTACCTCCATTGTATGCCTAGGGTGCTCCTTAAGTCTTTATCAGCCAAAAGAGAAGAACAGAACAGACAGGGAGGTGCATGTTGATATAGATAATGACACGAATGGCGAGGCGCGCGAAGAAAAAAGTAAGGAAGATGCTGTGCGCCAAAAGGAGATCCTATCTCCTAAGTACGATTTTACAGGCTTTAGTCCAAAGCTACACACTACCATAGCCTGCTATTTAGCTTGCGGACATATACTCTGCATTAAATGTATATCGAAGATGGTGATGCCCGACGACAAGTTACTAAAGTGTCCAACTTGTGAGAAATATCTCGACCACAACACAACCTGTGAGCTTGTATACGCGCCTCTGCCCAACTTTATTCATATCGAAAGCGATGTTCCAACGTCTATCACAAAGAACCAACAAGCTAAGATCAAAACATGGCGTGAGTCCCCTGCATTTTTCTATGCCATTAATTACGATCCATATCAGACGCATTATATGCTCGTGATGGATATATTTTATGCCACTACTCCCCCATTCCAGGTCATTTTCGTCTAAGTTGAATAAATCAGCTAGTTAACATTTATGCATTATTAGTATGGAAGACCGATGCGGTGTGCCAAAAGTAAGCCAGTAAACCCAATTCAACCCTAACCCAACTACCAACCCAATTCAACCCTAACCCAAATACCAACCCAATTCAACCCTAACCCAAATACCAACCCAACTACCAACCCAACCCAATCCTAACCACTTTCCATTTTAGCACTCTATACCCTAATACAATCACCACCCAAAGCAACACTTAAATAACTCTTTATTGAAGTTTCCATCCAAACTCTAGCAACTAAATCTTCACTCTTACTTAGACCTACTTTTTGGCTAATTTCTCGAGTTTTAGCTGGTTATCTATGTACTCTTTGGCCACTCCGTACTCCTCCACTCTTCTTCGGTCTATTTCAGCACTACCTAGCCTATCCCCAGGGAAGAATAAGTACTTACGAGCTGTTGGATAGAGATCTTTCTGCACCTCTCCATACGCCCGCACAAACGCTCTGTCTTTATACGTCTTAATTACCTTACGAAAGTCTTCCGTCTCTAATTCGGCCAAATTAACCAAGAAGTCAGTCAGAACCAACAACGACCTATCCTTCTCACCCCTCCAAGTACCTAGCACCAAATCATTATCACTCCAACCGCCCTGTCCTCTAATTCTAATTGTCCGGTTTAAGTCCCGATTAGTATTCGCTAGGACCAGCTTATCTTTATTTGGCACAAACATCCGATACCCAATCACTCCATACGGATCTACTCGTGCTAATAAATTCACCGCCAGTTCAGGTGCTAAAGATGAAACTCCAACTACTTCATAATGACCCGATAAATGAAACAAGAACTCTTCCGCATACTCTCTTATCTGATAATCATAAGCCAACTCACGCCAATTCCAAGTTTTAAGCAGCAAGACATCCTCAATATCAATGAATAAAGTCGGTTTAGCAACCGACTGTTCTGGCAACCTTTCATCCGGTATACCTAATCCTATCTTTCCCAAACTAATCACCATTCTTCGTCCAGAACTAGTCATTAAAGCCGTCCCAGCCACCAAACACCCAGCACTAACCAGCCAACCTCTTTTTGAGACTTGCAAAGGTACGGCATAAATTGCACTAACCGCTCGATTCAAGATTGGCAATGATTCTAAACACCGTCTAACGCCACCCATTAAAAATTTACTCGCTTTCCTCTGAAGTCCTCTGTAATCCTTGATAGAGCATTCTAAAGTACTTACTCTTGCCTAATGCCCTTTCTTTCAACTCTTTACCCTTTTGTTCTTCAGATTCGATATACTCTAAAATCGCATTAACTTCAGGTTCTCGGCCTTCAATGTACTTATAAGCCTTCTCTGAGACTAGTAATTCATCTTCTGTCCAGTGAAGGACCTTTTCAACGGCCTTAAGCACTCCTTTGTTAATTTGAGGCAAAGGAGTATCTAAATCGTATGTGTGTTTGTAAAGGCCATCAGAAACACTTTGCATCTGGTTAATTAGAGCTATAATACCATTAGATAGTTCATCACACTTCCTCTCCCTTTCTCTAGAGTCCATAAAAACAAAGAAGTACTTGGATGACGTCATGTTATGTTATACTAAGTTGGGTGATGTTAAGTTAAGATAAGTAGACTAAGTTGATACTTAATTGGATTAGGTTGAGTTTGGTTAAGTTATACTAACTCTATCCCAATCTAATACTAAGTTGATACTAATATAATACTAAGTTGATACTAAGTTGATACTAAGTTGATATCAAGATGGGTTGGTGTGACAGAGCCAGTGATTCTACAACGTCATAATTGTTCATTTTATTTAACTGGCGAAGGTTTACAATACTCTACTACCTGTTAAAACAATCCAGACTAACTTCATACTAACTTCAGACTAACTAAAATAACAAGTATCTTAAACTGATTGTGGTTGGTTCTATAGACATATTTAGTCTATTCTCTAGATAAGTTAAAGTTAACCCTCCAACCCCAACTATTACCTATTCAAGATAGACTTCTAGCCTACTTAAGTTTACTATCTCTGTGATAAGTGATAGTTAAACTATGTAACCCAGTAGATTTAAAGAAATAGAATCGGATTTAGATTAAGTTTTATAAAAGTGTTCCGATTCAAATAAATATTAGATTAGTATTAGATTATTATTATTATTATTATTAGATTGTTATTATTATTAGATTGTTATTAATATTAGATTAGTAGTATTAAACATAACCAACTCAATACTAACCCAATAAACTTGTATTGCTTCTTATCCAGCACACATCCATAGTTCTATCCACTCCTTGTATTGTATTAGTTTGAGTTTGTATTATGTTCGAACAAACACTCGATTCTTAATAATCACAAATCTTAACTTAACTCAACCCAACTCAACCTAATGTAGTTATTAGAGGCAAATAACATACTACCTGGCCTTACCTGATCGGACGGGGTAGTGTCTGCTCAGTTGAAGCTATTGCTTTGTGTCAGGTTTAAAGTTAAGCTTTATAAAATAGTGATAACTAGCAGCAGATTGGAATGGGAGCCCAATCGTCTAAACTGCCCCGAATGCCCCGGCTTTCTGTCGTTCACCGGTAGAAAGCAGTATTTGTCAGTCTGGGCAAAACACAACGCCTGGTTAACTAGGCTATTATCAGTGGTAGGTTCCCATCCTGCTGATTAGCTAGATTGAATGAACTTATTCTAAGAAACAGAGTAAGTATTGGGCCAGACGTGTTCTGGCGCAATGAAGGAGTCGCCTGTTGGGTTTGTGCGCTCAAAGGGGAGATTGCGTAGGTCGGGCGTACTAGCCATGGTGGGGTCTGCCCATGGTTGGTGCTCCAGAAGTAGCAAGAGCAGAAAGCCAACCCACCCCCAGGCAACGAAGTTGTCTATTGCGGCTCCTATGTTCAGTGGCAGTTATCTGCGGCTAGAACAGAAGCGAATCATCATGTGCTAATATCTAACCCTCCGTAAAAAGAGACCGATAGTGATGAGTAGCTTAGATATATTAGCAAGAGGACAAGACCCCTCATTAAACTTCTGATTATAATAGTGTTACATTTAGCAAGAATACTGATCTTCATATATTAAACCTTTATCAATTGTTTACATAAATATATATACATAAATACAAGTTAGATCGAGTGATAAGTTAAGATAAGTTAAGATAAGTCGCGATAAACTTTTTGGTTTGGCCAGATCTAAATAGAGACCAAACTCATTTGAAAACTAGTCTGTGGCTATCTAAAACAATAAACACCTTCCCTTTTAGTGATATACTAACCTGTGGTACCTATAACATTCCCTACACATCTTAATAAGAACCTCGAGATATCTCCACTTCTATTGGGTTAAGTATAGATAATGTATATCTTTATTCCTTACTACTTTAAACAACCAAATACTAACCAAATACTAACTCAATTAGAGTATAATATACAACGAAGATTGATAAGGAGCTTTCTAAAGGTTACATGAAGAACATACATAATACTATACCAACATAATACTAACTTATCTCTCGTTGAGTATGTGTGGATAAAAAGTCGTTATCCGTCTCTGAGACACAAAGTTAACCCAATTAAGTTTATTATTCTATCTACAACTGACAAAACATAGGGACAAACAGATCAAACATACTGGTTGCTAACCGTTAGGTCTCAAAACTTAGCTCGAGTCTGCTTAATCGCTGCTTCTTCTTCCGGAGTAGCCCCAGCACTTTCTAGCACTCGTGGTACATCCTCAGGCTCAACTAGCAGAGCTGAAACCAACTTCTTAACCCGTGTTAACCGCCGACTGACCTCCGGAACTTCCATACGCCGAGCCACTCCACGTACAGCACTCACATAAGCTGCTACTGCCTGTGCATCATCTGCACTACTTACTTGCCACGCCTCCGTCTCCAAATCATGTGTATGCGCACCTAGTAAAGTCCCAGTCGCCCATTCACCTACCGATGTCCCTCTTAACTGCTCAAAACACCCCAGCAAACGTACGCCTTCAACATTACGGGCCCGCCAGGCCACCCGTACAGCTTCTAAGGCCATACCACTAGCTTTCTCAGCTAAACCCTTACTCCGCTGCTCTTCAGCCGCCTCAAAACTCGTCACCACCCCAAAACTACGCAGTACTCGTCGGGCCCCGACAAAAAGACTCAAGTGCAAACACATCCGCTCAACTCCCGTCGTCTCACCTAATGCCGTTTCCAAAGCCGCCGATGCCCCTTGTAAATAAGCCAGGTGTAACTCATCACGAGCCGGCCGACTATACCCCAACTCCTTAGCCCGACTAGCCGCCCGTCGAGCAACGGCCAAGTACATAAACAATCCCGCCGCACTACTCGCTGCTAAAGCTTCTCCCTTAACAACATACCGCGGTTTCTGATTAGCTGCACCTGCTAACCGCCCAACTAGTCCTCTAATTCCTTCTAACTCCCAGCTTAAACACCCTTCTAAATCCGGACTCCAACTCAGTCGTTCCAACTCCACCCGTAAACCCGGCAGAACTTCCCATACTTTAGCTACTGCCGCCTGACTAGCCACCACTACTCTTTCCGTCTTAAGCAATCGCTCATAAGGATCATGGGCCGCCCTAATATCCGCCAATACCGGTGCTAAACCCTTCTCAACCGCCTCGTCCAATAATCGCACCAGTAAAGGTACCCGTTCCGTCGCCTCCCCTAATAAACTCCGTAGTACCACCGCCCGCCGACCAATACCCACCACAAACTCTTCCAAGTACCCCATCAGCACTCGGGATTCCACCCCCAAGACTAAATCCAAACTTTCCACTACCGCATGAATATACCCACTACGACTCCCTTCACTTCCCCCTAGTACTCGATTGGCTTCCTCGACCGGTAAAGACCCGCCTAAAACCAAAATCGTATCGGCCGCCCGTCCCGCCGTTTCTAAATCACCTACGCCCACTGCCTGCAATAAATCTGCCCGGGCCGTCTTAGCCTGCTCCGTAGCTAGTACTCTTAATTGTGCCTCACCAATTTGAGCCTGTAAAGCACTAGCTACAAATACTGCTGAAACTCCCACTGGAACTGTACCTGCCTGTAAGGCCTGTACACCTACTGCTGCTGCCACTTTAGCCCGGGCCATTCGCCACCCCCTTACTAACTCCACCAACCGCCAAGATGCCTCTGAAACTCGTGCCCCACTCAGTACACTCACCAATCCTTGCACCTCCTCTACTATCTGCTCTACTGCTTCACTCTCACCCCCTTCTTTTTCCCCCCGTATTCCACCTACTCCACTCCATAAAGCCCTCCTTGTCTCACTTAATTCTTGCAAAACCCGACTAGATCCACCCCCTGCACACATATCATAGGCCGATTCAACCACAACTTTAACCTCAAAATCATCCCTTAAAAACTCACCAGCACTCATCCCTTCTACAACCTCGTTTAACCCTATCTTTGACCTTGTTGCGAAGTTTTCGCCTAATTCTACCATGAAAATTGCGAAAATTTTACCCCCGTCATGACACTATCCGAGAAAGACCTACGTGAGTCTGTTTTGATGACGTTACAGCCAGATGTTGAACAAAAAAGAGAAGCTGAAAGAATACTTGATACTTTGTGCGGTCGACCAGGATTCTTTGATTCCTTAATTTCTTTAGCTGCTCGAGATACAGCAGCTGAAGTAAGACTTGTAGCTGGTATCTTATTCCGGCGATATCTAGAACGTACTTGGTCCAATGAAGGCTTTGCTAAAACTGAACTTATTGCTGCCTTCCCGACAGTTCTTCTTCAAACTTCACCCGAAGCTGCCCCACAACTCTTAGCTGCCTTAGATCATATCCTTAAATCTGAATCAGCTTCAGCTTGGACGGGTATTATTGCTGCTGCTGATAGTTTAATTGGAGCGGCTGATTCAGCTGCAGCTATTACGGGTTTAAAGATTCTTAATCGTATTATTCTAACGTTTATTGAAGGTTACAAGTCTGAGAAGGTCTTTGAACCTATTTTAGATAGATCGGGTGCTCGTATTCTGGCTTTGGCTGGTGAGTCTTTAGGTAGTACGGCTGCTCTAGCTATGAAAGTCTTAGCCCATGCTTGTGAGTCTTATGTTATGCCGCGGGTCTTTACTGATGCCGGATTTGTGCAGCAAGCAGTTGCCGCCGCTGGTAAAGGTACTTCTCCCGAAGCATCTGTCTCACTTACTAAATGGTCTTTGGTTCTACTGAACAATCTCTTGAAGAAGACAAGGAGGAAGAAGAGTTTGCCGGCTTTTGCTCCCTTACTGGCGACTGAGATTGTGCAGGGGTTGTACGCCCGGGCTCAACGCGTTCTAACTCAGTATAAGAGTTCTGGGGCTTCAGTTAAGGTGGAGAGAGAGGCTTTAGTCTTAGTTAAGTTACTGATGCATAAAGAGGCCGGTTGGCAACTAGTCCGACCAGATACACCCGTTCTGGTCTCTGGGTTTGTTCTGCCGGCGGTGGCTTTTGATGAGGAGTTGGAAGAGCTTTGGGAGTCTTCTCAGATTGAGTTTTTAAGGGAGGCTGAAGCTAAGTATACGCATAGTATTAGTACAGTAGCTAGTGAGTTGTTCTTTGAGATAGTTAAGATGGCCCGGGAAGATGCTGAGTTATTGAATGCCTTAATGAGTGTAGTAATTAGGGAAATGGCTGCTTACGGTACTCAGGCTAATGAAGAGACGGCTCGGATGAGATATGCTGGTTTAGCTCTATTTAGAACGGCTTCTAAGTACATTCATAGTAATGATGGTGTATTTAGTGTGATCTTAGAGGATTTAAGAGCTCCGCATGCCCATGTGCGTTATATGGCCTTTTCAGCCTTACAGCACTTTGGGTACCACCGGAAGATGCCGGCAGTTGTTTTAGAACCGTTTATGGCCGGTGTATCTTCAACGGATATGGCAGTAGTAGTGGAAAGTGTGCTTTGTTTACCGCATATTTTAGAAGTAGCCGCCTTAAGAGATGCTTTACGTCAGGACATTCCTTCTTTTATTCGTTTAGTACTTGATTTATCCAACCGAGTGCAGATTGAGTCTCTTTCTTCGGTTTTGGAAGATATTATTGTCTTGTGTCCAGAAGAGGCTTTAGCTATTGCGCCTGGGATTGCTTCGGCTATTGCTACTTCGGTTTTGCAACTACTTAGGGATGGTGAAGGTGAAGCTGAAGTTCCTGAGGAGAAGTATGAAGTAATTGATGGATATATTCGCACAATTGTTACGTTAATTGATTCATTGGACCGATCACCAGATGGAGTGAATGCTATTATGCTAGCTACTAAGCCTATGCTAGTGGAAGTAGCTCGTTCACATCAGGACTTTATTCCGGAGATTTTACCGATTGTATTAGCAGCTACATACGCATTGAAGAGTGTTGAAGGGATGTACGAGTTCTTAGAAGAGATTTTGAAGATGCCGGCTGAGGACTTACTGGTCTTCTCTTGTGAAGTATCGGAAGTACTTGATAATTACATTATGTACGGTAAAGGAGGTATTTTGGTTTACTTAGGAGATATTATGCGAGTAGTTGGAGAGATGGTGCAGGGATATGCTTCTGATTATGACTTTCCGTACACTTGTCGGGTAATGGAGTCTATTTTACTGAATACAGCTCGATTATTAGGAGATAGGGCGGCTGAGATAGTTCATGCTTTAATTGGTATGGCTGTTTCTAATAAGGAAGTACTTAATGAGCCTATGGCGGCTGTAGCTGCGGTTGAAGTTCTTATTTGTGCCATAGTTATGTTCCCGGCCATGGCTTTAAGTGATATTGCTAGCCGGGGTTTAGATGGATTCCTGTGTGAGACTTTGCGTGAGCACCATAAACGCTTTGAACGGGTGCATGATTTGAAGTTATTGTTACTCTTTGCCGGGATATTACTGGGACAACCGGGTGCTGCTTTACCTAATGGTATTCCGGCTGATTTGTTAATGCAACTCTTCCAGTATGCAGTTGGGGCTTTACCGGAAGCAATTGCTTATCGGGAATCTTTAAGATCTGGAGATGAGGAAGCGTGTGAGGCCTACTACGAGCGGGAGTACATGGAAGAGGATCCGACGTACGAAACGCCTTTGGATGAGATTGACTGGCAAGTATATGCCGCTGAGGTCATGCGCACGCCAGGCTGTCTTTTCCAAGAACTCTGGCAGCAAATGCCACAGGGAGAACAGAGTGCGCTCAGTGAAGCCGTTAGTGCCAAGAAATAAACCAATTTAACGACCAAGTAATCACATAAGCCCATAATAAGCACCAATATCTAACTCAAAACTACTCTTACCATTTAGTAACTGAATTAGCACCAACCGTATTGGGTTAGGTTAGGATAGTATTATGTTGATATTGGTAGATAGTATTGGTAGATGGTATTAGTAGATGGTAGTAATTAGATAGTAGTAATTAGATAATAAATCATCATTAGAAAGTAGACTAAATAGAAATTAGAGATAACAATTAGATAGGGTTGATTTGTAGCAATTTATAAAACTAGACTATTTAGATAAGACCTAATAAACAGATTTAGATACTTTGATCTATATTTGTTGATTTAGTATTATCTACAGTAGCCTTGGGTGTAGTACTGGAAGGAGTCGTATATCTCGGTGAAAACACTCTTCATGCCCCGGGATACGGTCTCTTCGGCATGGGCTAGAAATTCGGCTTCAGTTAGACCGGGTACAAATCGGGCCCTTAAACCTTCTGTTGCCGCTGCCGTAATACTAGGTATACTCCCGCCTTTTTCAACACTTTCAACTAAGGAGACTATTTGGTCCATATGCTTACGTAGTGCTAGATAGCCACGTAAGAACTCTTCACGAAAACGGGCCATTCGAGCTGGGCCAATTACTTCAGCATACTCTACTGAGAACTTAAAAGGTGCCGACTCAACTGAATAGAACCCAGGATACGTGCCCAGGACAAACCCAAAATCAATATGCAACATACGCCCACTAGCATCAATCAAAATATTACCATTATGTCTATCTTTAACTTGTAAGATGTAAGAAACTAAAGCATACCCTACTAAGCTCAGAAAGAAACCTTCCTTAGCCTCTTCTAAAGTATTGGGCCATTCTTGCTCAAAGTAGGTAAGGAGAGCGCCTTTACCTTCGGCCTGAAGGAGCTTTTTGATCTGATGAACTGAACGGGCGCCAACGACTGTTTCGATTAAGCCCGATTCAACTCCAGTTACAATGACCTCATAAGGTCTTAAAAGCAAGGGAACTCCTTCGGCCGCCCAAATATTAGCTACAGTCCGTAGGACTTGGGTAGCTAGAACTTCTTGGCGCATATCACTGCCCGTTTTAACAATCACTGAGCGAACGGACCAACCTGGTAGACTAGCAAACTGTGACTCTCTCTGAATAGACCGAATAGTTTGTGGCCATTCGTCAATATGACCTGTTCGGCCTTTGACTTGGCCTGGTGTAGCACTTACCCCGTAGATCTTTTTGATCACTCGGGTTTTGATTGATAAAACATCTAAATCTACTCCAGCATGGGTGCCTAGTTCTTTTAGACCGCCTAAGATCTTAATGGCCGTTCTTAGGACTGCTTGCTTAGTTGCTTGAGTCTTCTCCGGCTCTTCTTCCAATCTATCACTAGGCGGTAAGCTTGGTGATGCCTCATAAACTAGCATAAAAGGCGCTCGTGCGGCTGAATCTAAAGCATGCGAAGCTGCAACGGATAAACGCAACAAGTTAGTATGACGTGTACAACCTAAAGGAAAACAAATTGGGGCCGGTAGGAAAAGGTTCAGGAGGTTTAGCTCTGTAGATAAAGCAGCTTCTCTAGAAGCCCGAGGAACACTTAACAAAGTATCTGAAACCATCCTTAATCTCGTGATTAGTTGGGCTTCTCGTGAAGAAACAGCTGACTTAACTAGCACCCGATCTAAAGCTCCTTTATTCAAGTACAAAGGTCTTGATTTGCGAGGGGCTAAGCTACAAGCGGCATCAGTTAAAAAGGCATGTTGATCCTTATCAGTAAAAACTAGTCCAGATAGAAGAGTAGCTAGGCCGGCCAGTAGAGCACAGTGCTGTTTAGGCCGAGGTCGAACCATTACCTCTGATAGGTTGTAAAAGGCCTTTTGTTGGGTTAGTAGATCTCGAGTGGATGGAGATAGGCCTACTTTAGACCCGGCTGTGATTCTTAGATAGGCTAGATAAAGAGTAGGTGGGCGTCGAACAGTTTTAGGTCTAGGTGTATGTGGTAGACCTATTTGACTGAATAAACCGGCTGCTTCTATGGCGGCTGTATAGGAAGAATCTGTATCTGGTAGGGAAGCAGCTGTAGCTACGGCATACATGGAAAGTGCTAGGGGCAAGTGCCGTTCAGCTTGGGCTGTTCGATAAAGCATACGGAAGAGAGGCCGAGTCCAGACGGGACCTTCTTCGGCTAACATCAGATGAATGAGTTGTGGGAAATGAAAGGCAATGTCCTTATATCTAGTTTGGTACGCACGAAAACAAATGAATTGGTGAATATTTAGGTCAGTATATCGCGTTAAACACTTAATGGCCATCCAAAAGACAAAATACTCTGAATCAAAGGCATGAAGTAGCCAAGTGCGCTTCTCTTCAGCCATAAAAGTGCAAACAAAGAAAGTTTATTTGCGGTTAGTATTGGGCTAAGCCTCTCCGGCTCAGAATGGAGTAGTTAGGATGGTTATAAGTATTTGGTCAAGTAGCTCAAGTCGGGGTTAAGTTAGAGGTGATTTGGCAGAGATTAAGTTAAGATAGGAATAAGTTGAATTGCGAATGAAATAAAAAGAGAATTCAGTTAAGTTTAGATTAGGTTAAGTTGAGTTGAGTTGAGTTGGTTTAGATTAGTTTAGGGGTGTGATTGGGGCGGGGTGGATTTAGATTAGTTTAGATTAGTTTAGATTAGATTAGAGAGGTTGGGTTGAGTTGAGTTGTGTTTGGGTTAGATTAGGTTATGCTGAGTTGAGTTGTGATTGGGTTAGTATTGTGCTGTGTTGAGTTAGTATTGTATTGTGTTGTGTTGTGTTGAGATTAGGATTGCGGTGGAATTAGAAGGTATGTAAGTTCTCTTTGGTTATGCTAGTGTAGTTGCATATTTGGCTGGTTGCGTTTGGTTGGTTGATATATGCTTACTTGCACTGGCACCTAACACTCCTTAGTACCACTTGCCTCTTAACTACTAAATTGAACCTAAGCTAGCTCTAGGATTCTATTGGGTTAGGTTGGGTTAGTTGTTAATTACTGCCTGTAATCTACTCTTGTTTTTGGCCGGGCCTCGTCTTATTATTAAGCAATCTACTAATACAACCTGGTTTTATCTCTATTTATTTGTGACTGGCTTGATTATTATATCTTAGGCTTGATTTTGATGTTTCATAGGCATTGTAGTGCTGTTATACAACCACTGCCTATTGGCTACACAATTTTAGTACTACTAACCCAATCTAATCTAGTCCAATTTAACAAAACTAACATAGTTTAACAAAACTAACACAATCTAACAAAACCAACAGAATTTAACTATTTGGCTTTGCATATCTAATGATACCGTCTTATTTCAACCCAATCATACTCATCTAATCAAAGATACTATCCATTGCAAAGAGTGCCTTTAATAGAATATGTATCGGCTAATGAGTCATATTCATCCCATGGGCTTTGTAGGAGTGTCTTTTTCTATGGGCTTGTTCTGGATAGAAGATTCTCTCTATTCTTATGGCTAGTTCCATTTGATAGCAAAAATAGGCCTGGTTTGACCTGCCGTATTGGCATAATGTTATCAAATATGATATAAATGTGGTCTTTCTTTTTGTTTTAAATGAGAAATATGCTTATCTACCGTAATATGCCTTGTTTGCTTGGCATGGGCATCCTTCTTTGGGTTCTGGGTTTAGACGTTTCCTGTAGTCAAGAAATAGATAACCCGCCCTCGACACTGAGTTTCTCCGCACATAATCACATCTGCTGGACTCTTGGCCACATTCTGAGTGTTTCAACTTTTGGCGATGCAATTCTGATCGGTAACATTAAACCGGATATACGCTGTGACATAGATATGCACAATCTAGTGGTCGGGATTGTCAATGATCATGTGGTTCTAAGGCAACTTGATGCGCAGCCTCCTGATATATTAAGGGATGCTGAATGCTTACTGAACACAATTAATGTTCTTTGTGTTACTAAACTTACAATTGACCACACCACACTTTATGAAAGGTCGGTTATAAAGATAATAGCACGGATTTTAGTAATAATTGATTGTTCTCGTCTTATCATTGAAAACTTGACCCCAACTAGTAATGGGGCTATTTTATGCAAACTGGCGAGCGCTAAGCTTCCGGTCGTTGCCACGCCTACTATGAAGAGGAATATATCTATCTGCCTTCGACTTGGTTCTTCTGAGAACTACATTGGTCCTCGAGAGCGACACGAACATATTCTAAAGTTCATCCTCACAGCAGTTCAAAACAAATGGGTAAAATGCATAAGGCTAGAATCTCCATGCATCACGAATTTAAGGGTTCTTGAAATAGTTAATTGGTGCGATAGTTACATTTTAAACCTAATGACCGATAGCCTAGCCGATGTTCACTTTATAGCGAAAAACCAGGCACAAGCTTATTATTTACTCCTCCGTCGCTATAGTTGTACCTTGATGGGCAATTATTGGTTAGAAAATCCGAAGAACCAACCGCCGCCGGGTTACCTTGAACAGCAGCGCCGCTCTAGTTTTAGTCTCTTCTTGTTCCTTCAAGCCAATCCCGGGGTTTATCTGGCTTTAGATTTATGTACAGCTATTCTGCTTTTGCTGATATGCCCTTCCGCCATACCCTTCACCTACCACGTCAACTCTATTAGTATCTACGGCCAAAAACTAGGCCCGCGCTGGCTCATTGAAGAGATCGCCCACAAAATACTAATCCACGCTAGATCCCACTATAATAAGTCAATAGAAGGATCCATGAGGTCCGATGCCAATCCAAGAAGAACAGATGCCAGGCTATACATTCCATGGCTTACTGCTAAGCAGGTAATAATCATGGCTGAACTGAATAGGCTGATTATGCCAGAAAGTGACATCGAGGTGAAGCAAGACATAATCGCTGATATTGTCCCTCTTTTTGTCCAGGTCACAAAAATCGACCTCACCTTGCAATGTAAACCCCGTTCTCCGAGTGAAGATCAACTCTTGAAGCTACTCCACCATACAGATGCCCGGATTTTATACATTGGATGCATTACCAACCCAATCCTCACTCTAACCGATATGACCAGCATCACGCGATTGTACTCGGTAAATGTCATCATTGCCCCAAAAAGCCTCGTCCGCGCACGTATATACTGGGCTGACTTTTTCCAGTACATCGCAGATCTGTTCATTGAAACCGTTATCGTTATGATCAACCCGAAAGAGTCATGTAATAATGTCTGTTTCTGTTTAGAGACAATCCTGCATGGCATTCTAAAGTCTAGATGTCCAAGTCGACGACTGTTATTTATTCCCGATGAGAAAGCGCCATCAGAAGAACGGTCAGAAGAACTGTCAGAAGCACCATCACTATTCCATGCCAACCGGACCAGCTCGAACCCGATATTGTTTGACTTTGTGTTAAACTATCTTGATATTCACAACCAGCCAGCATGGCTAATTGAGCTAGTATTTGGTTGTTTACGCTTCACTAACCCAAATACTTGCATTACTATTACCGGCCTCTATGAACACGGCATTGACCTCGCCCAACTTGCTAAGATCCTGCCGTCATTAACCAAGAAGGTGCACCATTCTAGCATTACCTTGACCTTATCTCATATGGATGTTTTTGGATGTAACTTTTTGGACACTATCTTTCGCGATTATAAGGGCGAGTTGGCTAAGCTTGCATCAAAAATTGTACTTACTACCAAGGCCCAGACCCCACCCCTACACCTTAATGTTTCATTAATCTATTACTCTAATATTCTCCACCAAATCTGTGCTTTCAGTTCAACATATCCATTTGTTAAACAGCTTCAGGATAATATATCTAAACACATCTGGATAAGCATCAATATCTACGGCCTAATCAATTTTGATCTCATTAAAACCCGCGTGCTGTTACAGCCCCCCATCAAGCTCCAAGCCCTCTCTATCGTTGGTGTCGTCATTGACGAACCTCCATACTACAACCCTGGCTTCCGTACCTTCTTAGGCCATGTCACTATTGTCTCCTCCAAAACCCAACCATCTAACATAAGTAACGCAACCCTCCAGGCAATCTCCGAGACAAAACTCTATGAATGGATAGATCTTTCTTTCGGCCGACCCTACCCAGTAATTATCCCAATGAAAGATATACCACACAACAGCGGCAGAGGCATGCTCGTCGCCACCCAATGCCCAGTCCAAACCGCTCTTTTATAATAAACCACCCCCATCCACTTACTTTTATTAGCCCCACCAACTCGTCCATTTTACTACTAACCCAATCTAATCTAACCCAATCCAACTCAAACCAATCTAACTCAAACCAATTCAATCACCACCAAAAACCAAAATCTTTCCAAACCCTTTCCAATTGAAATTCAGCTAGAGTTATTTTGAATTTTAGATTTCTTCTTTCCCATACCAAAACCACCCAATAAATCAAAACAAACCACACCAACCCAATATCAACCTCACCTAACCTAACACAATCTTAACTTCACCTAACCCAATATCAACTTAACTTAACACAACTTAAATCAGTAAATCCATTGATTTATTAACAATCTATTCAATTTCACCATAACAATCTCTACTTATCACAATCCAATCTAATCTAACTAAAACAATCTTATCTTAACTCAATTGCACCTTGACTTATCCCGGCAAAGTCTAGCTGCATTTTGACGCAAATCTTCCATTGCCTCAACCGGGTACCCATCTATCGCCTGAAATAAAGACTCACTTGATACACCCTGAGCAGATACACCCAGTACATCCCGAGATATCAGCCCCCAGGCCACCCAAACCTCTTCCTGCGCCACTTTATATACCTTAGCCACCACTAACTCTAAACAAGCAACTCCAGCCGCACAAATACACAATGAAATACCCATCGTACTTACCGCCAACAACTCAGCATCACTTAACTGACCACCATTCACCACCCGGACGGAAATACTATACGAAAACCGACCACTCACCAAAACAGCCGAAAAGACCCGCGACAAAGCCAGACTCAGCCCAGCAGACCATTCAGCACCTTTACCCACTAGATTAGCATGACTAGAACTCACTATTACCTCAGTAGGACCCTCTTGGGCCGTAATAGAAAAAAGGACCCAAACTTCACCCTCACGATAGGAAAGGCCAGCAATGCCCGGAAGACCACTAAAAGACTCAAAGGAAGTGAGAACAGGCGAGTAGGCTACCATTTGCGCCGTAAAACTTTTTTGCCTATGAAAGGAGTCCTACTTCGACGTGTTTGTCCGGCTGGGTCGATCAATGGGGCCATATTAACTGATAAAGGTCCGATTGTTGCCCAAGAGAATATTCTTGAAGGAATAGATGGTAGCCAGGTTCGACATTGTGAAAGAGTTGCTGGAATAGTGAGTGAAGGCAGTCGAGTTTATCTAGCCAGTCAGTCGGGATTGTTTCTTATGGAGGACAACCGGATTAAAGTCTTAGAAAAAACACCTCTAATTGGACCAGTTAGACTGTTGGTGAATGGATCATGGGTAGTAGCAGTCACTAAGCAAGAGTTAGTGATTCATAAGGCACGAGAAGGACTGATTAGGTACGCGGCGTATGGCCATCAGGTAATTAGTGTAGCTGTAGCTGGGAAGAAGGGTTTAATTAGAGTCTTACTAAGTGTAAGTAATGGATATGCTGTTCGTACTCTTCAGGCTAATAAGGGTCAATTAGAAGAGATAAGTCAAGTGGCTGTGGATAGTACGGCGTATTTACTGACGTGTGCGGATGAAGAGGAATGGGTAGTGATCGGTCGTGAGGGACTAGAGTTAGTTAAGGGAGATATGCGACGACGGATGACAATTGGCAGTCCTTTAGTTAGAGCGGCAATTTGTACTGGGGACTTACTAGTGCTAAGTCTTTTTGGGAATGAGATTTGCTGGATTAATCGGACTACCGCGACTGTGCTTAAAACAGTGCGGGCCCAATGCTTAATTGAACGTTTTGAACGGACTAAACAAGGTATTATTGGGTACAACCGATTGGGTGATGTTTTACTGATTAGTGACCAGCCGAATGATAAGATAAAGCAGTTGCGAGTAGGCCTAGGCCGAGTAGTGCAAATGGACGTAGCTACAGAGCAGGGTCGAGAAGTACTTTATTTAGTCAGACATACTAGCCAGGGAGCTGTAGTAGATAGAGTTGCTCATGAGCGACAGATTACTAATTTATTGCCTAGTACGCTTCCTCAGGCAGATACACTTAGTTCTGAACTTAAGGCGGATGCCCAAGCAATTAGACGCTTAGCTGTCATGCATAAAACCATGATTATGCAAGATAAAGAAGGTGCTAGTTTAGTTAATGCTGCGAATGAAGTAGTGCGTATTCCCGAAGCTTTAGGAGCTGTTTATACTAAGAACCGAGTATGCTATGTCTTGCGTAATGGTAAGGTTGTGGTAGGTAGTCAAACATGGTGTCTCTTCTGTCATAAGAATTGCCAGGGTTGTGGAGAAGAGTTACTAGCTGCTCGGGTGGATGGTAAAGGAGGTATAACTGCTGGGGCTAAAGGAGTTTGGGTTTTCTCCTGGGCCGGTGAAGTAGAGTACATTGAACTGTCTTCCATAGTGAACTTAGAACTATCACCTCGAGCAGCTACAGTGTGTTGTACTGAGGGCGTATCGATTATTGATCGTAGTACAGGGCAGCAGGAAGCAGTTCCTTTATCAGGGCGTTGGGTAGCTGAGTTTCATTCGCAATATTTAGTGAATACCTGGGCGGGTGGGTTGGATTTAGTATCTAAAACGGGTAAAGTTCTGGCTAAGATTAGAACGGGTCCCGTGCTAGTTAAATCGTGGTCAACTGATGGAGAAATGGCCGTTCTGAACTGTGAGACTTGTGTCGTATTTATTGGGCCGGGTACAGCTAGTGTGTACACTCAGCCGGGTTTATTTGCGCTTGGGGACTCAGGGTGTTTTGTCTTAGATAGCAAAGTGGCCCGACGGTGTGAATTACAGCCGGAAGGGTTTAAGCAGACTAGTGTAGTTCAAATGCAACGAGATATTCATTGGGCCGTGCCTGTATGTGGAGGACTCTGTGTGGTTTATACTACTGGCCCGCGTCTTTCTCTGCAGGGCCAGGCTTTACCTAGTAGTGGCTTTGGAGTTAGTTTTTGTTGGGGTGGAGTGCCCTTATCTGATCTAGAGTATTTAGGATGGAGTGTTTTTGGATGTGTGCGGGTAAAGAGTGTTTATGTATGTTTGGGGTGTAATTCAGCGGAAGGCATTCGGGTTGTGTTGTTAAAAATAGATAAGAAAGAGATAAGAGAAGTGGCTAGTTTATTATTAGAAGGTGAGAGTGGGTTGGGTTTAGTTGAGGAAAGTTCTTATCTTATTATTAAAACTGTAGGTAGGACGTATACTTATCAGATAAAAACAGGAAAGTTAGTTGCTTCTTCATTTGTGCCAGCAGTGAATGTAAATGGCAGTCGGATTAAACTACAAGTAGAAGGCAAAGAGGCGGTGTACATAGACCGTAGTAAAAGTCTTTCTAGATCGATTGAGTTGCTTAGTTCGGGATGGTGTGTTTTGGGGCATGAACTAGCGAGTGGGGGTGAGGTATCTCTTTTAGAGGTTAAGTCACGAGCGGATTGGTTGGTTACGTTTAGACTTCCAGAAGGAGTTGTTCAGGTAGTTAAAGGATCACCATACGCTATATCCAATCGGCCTTCTGTTTTTCTAAGATTAGAGTCTGGGGCTGTTTTCCTGTTAGAGTGTTTGTCGGCGAGTGAGCTTCAAGATCTGGTTCCGGTAGAAGGTCGTGATTGTGTTAATGAGGACTCGGTGTTTGTGCTGAGTGAAGATCCATTGGTTGAGAATATGCTATGGGAGGGCAACATTCAAATTGAAGCACCGTTCTCTTTATCAGCGATGGCCAGCCAATTGGGCCAAGACAAACTACCCATCTAGAAGTCATTGCAGCTCTATTACTGTCACATAATCAATAAACTCTTAATAAAGACGTAGTGTTTATTCAGGACTAATTTATCCGGCCGTACTAACCCAACCCAACCCAACCCAACCCAACCCAACTCAACTCAACTCAATACTTAACTTAACTTATTATAATCTAAATTCTGAAATCAAAAGTACCAGATATAAAAATAGAGAGAAATCTGTTTAAGATATGAAATTACTTCTGGCAATTTGGGCACTCTTGATTATACTGGGGATGAGTATTCTTCCTATCAATATGCAGTATGCCTCAAGACCTTTAGATTGTGCTACTAGTAATTCTGCTACAGTTCAGATCAATGACGTCATTTTAGGTAGCGAGTACGACCAAACGTTGGCTGAGGCTAAGGCCATGTTTATGGACAATCTTCATCTACCACACCTACTCTCATTTCAAGCAATGGATAACCCCATATATACCTACGAGAGTACATTGCAGAACGGCACATCCTATTTGATTGCTCCAGGAGTCTATGATCTCATGTTAACCTTGGATGCTACTGGTCTAATGACCACAGACAGGCAAGCAACCCTGCTCAAACTACTGCGAGATATTGACAGCAGCACAATGAAGCCACACTGTAAGTCAAATCTTCACGAGCTAAGCTTCACTGATGTTCGCAGTGGTCTTCAGCTCGACATACTTCAGAAGCAGCTTGAGCAAATATCTAATTTGGAAGAAGTCCTTACTACCTACCGCCTCTACCTTCCGGCTCCCACTCCATCACAACTTCGCAACCTCTTTATGACTTTCTACAGCCATGCCAAAGCTGATCTAGCCCAGGTGTTTGTTGAGTTACAAAATAGCCGTAAGGCATTTGCCCGTGTAGTTGACTACTATGCTGCTTCCCACTCATCATTTCATCCTATTTCTTTGCCTTTTCGCGACGATATATCCCTGAAAGGCCGAGTCATATCTCTTTTGATTCAGAGCACCATTGACAACTTCCACCACTTATTTAACTGGACCAAAAAGCATCCGCTCGTTCAGACTAGCCAGAATGCCGACCAGCACAACGATAAAATAATGCAGTATCTATATGATCAGACCGTGCAGTTTAAGAAGCTTAAACAATACGCCATAGCATCTAGTGTCCGTCCTGAAGACATGAATGAAAGGTATATCACCCGACCGAATCTAAGCCTTAATAACTTCAAGCAATTGGTTCTTCAGCACTTCTATACCAAAGGAAAAGAGATGCTTCGCTATCTCAACCATGTTCTTGATAAGGAACAGGCCTATGCCTACTACATTCTCTCTCTTCAAACCAACAATCCAGACACCAAATCTGTCTTAGATGTTTTAGATCGCCAATCTAAATACTTAACCACCCAAAAAGAGTTTCTTATCGCTAAACAAAAACATCTCAACCAAATCAAAAACCACCAACTTCCGGTTGATTCTGCGTCGTACTACTTCACCGCTACCCAGATCAATGAGATACTAAACAATGACCATCAACTACCCGGGAAGGTTGAAAACAACATTCTTGCTTTGCCAACCAACGCCATGCTAACACCCGAGCTTAGTTCGCAAATCTGGAAAACACTCGATCACAACATCCACTCCTCACTCTTTGAAGCATTCCAAAATTCCAATTCCCCCAACCCACGCCAGGTAGTCAAGACCGTCCAGGAAGACTTAGAAAACTACCAGAACGTCAAGCCCGCAGGATACGACCGCTGCTACCAAAGCATCACCCGCCGCATAAATCAAAAGATAAACGATGCCGTCCGAAACAACACACCCGAAAACTTCCCTTCCTGGTTCCAAACCAAAGATACATACTATAATCTCTCTAAGGAAGCCATCACCGCCAACTCTATAAACCACCTTCGTCAAATCGAGATAGACCAAATTGCAATACTAGCCACCCATACCATACACCAACTAATCGACCGTAAGTTGCAAAACACCCAGTGCCAATCCCTAACAGCAGACATCCAACCCAAATTAAACTCCCTTTTCGATAGTCTGGTGAAGAAGTTCTCCCAACCCCAACCCATCGCCGTAGACCAAGATACATCCACCAATACAACGGGGACCAATACAGCAAAGACCAATACAACACCCACCAATACAGCAGACACCAATACAGCAAACACCAATACAACGGGGACCAACACAACGGAGAACAATACAACAGAGAACAATACAACGGGGACCAATACAGCAGACACCAATACAGCAGACACCAAAGACCCCACCACCATCTTGATCGACAAAATTATCAATTACTTCAAAGTCAACAATGTTACTCTAACCGCCACCGCTGTAGCGGACCATCTTTACGACGCCTATCCAAAGCCCACGGACCCATCCAGAACCAACGATCAGGAACAGAACCCCGCTCTCTCCAAGCAACAGGGCACCAATGCCGCCGAACGGTTTGTAATGGTCTATAACGAAATGGTCCTCAACCTACAAGCTCGACTCCGCAACAACTACAAATCCATCGGCCTGGTTATTCCCTCCGACCGCAACGCCGACCTAAACTACATCGATGGCGCCCTTGACAAAATCCGCGCAATTCTATCCATCCATCTAGACAACACCCACCAAATTATCTTCGAACTTGCCAACAAGAAGAACAAAGCCGACAAATCCTACACCGAGTGCCTCCAAACAGCCATGCCCTATCTCACCGACCACTTCCAAGACATAGACCAAGTCACCCGCACCAAAATCGAATCCGTCATTAGAGCAATCCTACAACCACCCAGCCCAACATCATCCAACTCAACATCAGCCACTAACTCAAAACAACCCAAAACATAACTAACTACACCTAACTCAATACTAACTACATCACACCTCAACTAACTCAACTCAACCTAACTCAATACCAAATCAATACTAACCTGTTTATTTCAAAAGATAACAACGTCAAATACTAACCTAAACCTAACTATTCAGCCAAACTATCCACCTAACACCATATCAATAATCAAATAAACACTAACCTAACCAAAACTACTCCTCCGAGTCACTTTCTACAATAGCGATAGGCTTCTTGCTCAAAATCGGATACTTCTTATCTAAATCAGCATAAGAAACCAACTGATCAGATTCTGGCTGACCCGGTCGTAAATAGTAGTATAAATTAGCCGGTAAAGCCTGCCCCTTCTGCTCCACCACCTCAATAACCGGATAAGTCAATGAAGCAAGCATAGCAAAGAAGCCCTTATGCAATCGCATGTAAGCCTCATACTCCGGATGGTTCTTCCGCTCTAAGTGCTTCTCAAAGTACTCCATTGATGCAAACCGCTTGTTACAATACCGACAAACATACTCATTAGGCGCCGAAGACTCCTTACTAAAGATAGCACTATTAACACTAGAATTAATCAACTGGAACCTTTCAGCTCGATTTTGAGCATAAAAAGCCCCTGATCGTTCTAAAGCAGCAAAACTCAACGTATCTATCTTATCTGTACTCCGAACATGAAAAAGTCCACATTTAGTCACCATCTCATAAGGATTGTCATACTTGCACTTACAGTAGTAACAAAAGTTAAAGATCTTCCGTAAGGCTAAGATGTACAGATCAGCAACTGAATTGACTGGCACTCGTGATTCAAAGCCCTTTAAGGTCTCAAATACCTCAGGGACTTTAAATAGAGCTGACATAGCCTTAAGTATCTCCTGGCACTGAACACCAGAACTAGATAGAGTATACTTATCTGATAATTGCCGACCTGACTCTCTAAGTGCACTACTAGACGTAGGCGTAGGTAGAGATTGACCCAATACAACTGATCCGGGTGGTAGTTGAACTTGAACTTTCTCTTTGAACTCTTCCAGGGAAAGATCTTCTAAACGGACATAAAGAGTTCGACGGAAACCTTCATGTACGCCATGTTGAGATACAGCCCAGTCTTTTAAGCCCAGTTCTTCCTCCAGGACTAGAATAAAGTCTCTAATCGTTACATTCATCTCAATGTTTTTGATAAGGGCTAAACTTACAGTAGTATTAGTCTCACCAGTTGTATAGGCATCAAATAGATCTGTTTTAAGTAAATCGGGACCATTATTACTATCTAAACTTAACTGACACTGTCGACTGGTTACAAAGTCTCTAAACTCCATGAATACATCGGCAAAGGAAGATCGTTGGCATAGATCTATCTCGGCTAACCAGGCTTGTTTTTCGTACCCTTTCAGTAGCATTTCTTTGATATTGGTATCATAGTACTTTTCAAAGTAAGTTTGGTAGTTGTAATCGGATATAAATATTTGGTTGAATTCATCTTCCATTAAAAGTCGGGCTTTTCTTATCGCAAATTCATAAAGACCAGTAAGTGTTTCAGTTTCTTGATTTTCGGTATCTTGGGGAAGATCTTCTGTATGTCTGCGCTTATTCATAGATAAAAAAAAAGTAGGCCTGGTCTATCTAGATTGTTTGGGCTTGTTAGATCCCGGTCCCCAATTGAGACCTATATGGTCGGGGAACTTGAGGTACTTCTGGGAGGTTTTCTTTTTGGCATCTTGGGTGATTGTAAAATCAATGATAATTTTTGATTTCTTTTGATAGTTGAGGATTTGGTTAAAGATAATGACTTCTGGGGTTTGGCTGGTGGAGTTGAGGGCTTTGGTAAGGGCTTGGTTGTAAGTATTGGGTTGGTGGATGTGGAAGTACTCGGCGAGGGCGAGATAGACTAGTTCGAGAGGGGCTTTGGTTTTCATGGCGCCGGCCCGGCAGTGGGAGAGGGAAGCGGTGTAACCGTTGTGCTCGAGGAAGGAGATGATGGAAACTAGAGGGGCCATAGGAAGTTTGAGGTTGGTAGCGATGAGGGACATGGTATAGAAGAAAGGGGCATCTTCTTCCTCTTCCTTGGCCATACTAAGCATGCCGTGGATTCTTCTATCTATTTGGGCGGAGGTGAAGGCCATTTCTTTAACTCCGCCGGTTTTGGTTTGGATAGTGGCTTCATCAATTGGGGCTAGAACTAGTTGAATAAAGTCGGGATCATGGAGAGGGGCCTTCCAGAGGGGGCCGTAGAGAGAAGGTTTGCGGGCACAAAGAGGACAGGCTTCGGGTAGGTTGGCTTTGGCGTGGCGATAGGCTTTGCCTTCTTGGCGTAAACTAGGGATTTCTAAATGGTTGAGACACTGGCATAAGAAGAAAAGAGAACTGCCTTCCAGTCCAGAGTTATACTTTTGCTCAACCGGGTCTACTACAACAAAGACGCGTATAAAGAAGTCCATATAAAGACTAATAAGTGGTCGAATAGTTCTTTTGAGTTTAGCGGCAGTTCTAGAGATGTAACTGAGAATGATGCGAATGGCTACTTCATGGGAGTAAGTATTACTGATTGAGCAGGCTCCATACTTCTTAAAACAAGCTTCAGGCGGACTGTCACAAAGTGCCTTCAAATCAGTGGAAGTAACACAAAGTAGTCCACCTGGGGCAATGCTTTCTAAGGCCGATTCAATATAAAGGGCACACGAACCAAACGGATCAATATCAATTACATCGTACTTGTGCTTGCGCTGGAGCATAAGCACTCGGCAATCTTCATTGCAGACTTCAACTGAGCACTCGCCATTATCAACTTCTTCATTAACTTTGGCTTCAATTCCGTTAGCTTGGCAGTTGGCTACTATTTCAGCACAGGCTCGAGCTGATAAGTCATTCATAACTATTCTTCGGCTTCCTTTAATCTCGCGGCAGTATCGAATAGCTCTAATTCCGGTGGCTGACATACACTCTAAAATGCTTAGAGAGTCTTTCCCAAAATGTTCTTTATAAGCATTGATAATACGAATGGTCATAGTGCGGTTAAACTTCTGCACTGGATTATAAAATGCGTGTCCTTGGACAATAACGCCTTCTTCTTCAACTAACTGCATACAAATTCTTTTGCAATCAACCGTTCCTACTTGAGCTTGTTTTGGCATAGATTATTTCAGCCATTGTTTATGTAATTATCTAATCTTAAGATCTGTCTAATATTATATCTGCAGCCGAGTTAAAGACTCTATAACGTCATCATTGTTCAATTTATTTAGAAACTACCACTTGCTAATGCAGTAGTTACTAGTTGATAACTAACTCAATACTAAGCCAAGCTGAACTGAACTATTCCTATTAGAATAAGACTTATTTATGTTCAAGGAAGTTCAGTATGGGGGTTCTAGCTATTCTGTATCTCGTGGGAAGCCAACGACCAGCACTCATTTTGTTTATTAGATCTAGAACAATTAGTACCAGTATAGTACCAGTGCAATCGATTTGGCTTTAAATTTCTCCCAAGCACGTACTGGCACTCAATATTACGTTGAGTTAACTAATAAATACTAACCCAATACTAATTGTTGTACATGAGAATCGCAACACTACTTAATTAGTGGACAAAGAGTTTAGAGATCGTAAAGAATCAAGAGACTAATCTTTATTGTTAAACATCATCTGGGCTACATGATGTTTTCATTACTGATGCTGGGTTAGTAGTTGGTAGTAGAGTTACAAGTATTAGATC